AAAAAAAGTAGCTTTTCTGAGCCAGCCAGTGGAAGGCTTTTCCTATGGACCCGATTTTTGACAGGATATTTTTATTCGAATTTATACGTCACTCTCTTCAATTTCTTTTTTAGCATTTTGTTTTGTATTCATTGAGATGTTCTTTTTTTTTCTTATTCTCATATGTCTAGGTGAATGATGCGGTTAAAATCGAAAACCTATTAGACACAATATTTTCATATATTAGCATATGAGCACAGTGTTTCGTAGCAACGGGAAGCTGTACACTATGGATACTGAGAATATGGAGGGTCTTCCTGTGGGAACAAACAAAACAGAATTGGAAAGGAAAGCAACAGGGACAGGAACAAAAAATTGTGGTCTGACTGGATGGGACCAATTTTTGCATTTTAAGGTACAAAATGCCCGTGAAAATATGAATATAAAAAGCATTTTTGTTTGTTTTCCTCCAGAAGTCCATCGAGGGGCAAAATCCTTCACGTGATCAATAAAGCGACCTTTAGACGACTTTAGAAAAATATTTGCAAGCAACGATTTCTTTTTTTTTACCTTATTTTGTTGTTTACCAGTTTTTTATTTTTCATACCAATCGCCTTATTATCGCTGGCTCAGGAACTGATCAGTTCGGTGAACCTTGTCATATACATAGGCTATCGGGTTTTGAGTCATTTTGTAGGTCTAACATGCCTTCTATATCTCCGAAGGAGCCGGAAACGCTTATGATTTGTCTTGTAAGGGGATTAACTTACGCACAGTTCTTGTACTTTATGATTTTATCCTTAACTAAGCTTTTGAGCTCATCGTTCGTTGAGATGAAGCAGAGCTAGGCAACCAGGGGACGTAGTGGATAGAACGCATCGAAAAGGGATGGAGGTGAAGGATGTCATTGTCATTCACCTGGGTGGAATATGGGTTTAGATTGTCCTGGAGAGGATAGGTTTCGTTTTTTATTTGTTCAGATCGCTGTTATCAGTTTCAGTAGTGTACAGTAATGTATGAAAAAGACGCCGTTCCTGTGACCTCCAGTTAGACCCTCGTCCTGAATGCCGACTCACAAACTCAACATGGAGGATTATCCTGAAGGATAGTTCAATGCCATCACTGCATTTCGGGAGGTGTTGGTGTAGTAGAAGTGGCGCACTACCACCCACATGGTTCGGGGATCGAATCGCTGAGCCGTACATGCCCAAGTGGACAAAGCCTTCCATCTTGCCAGGGTCGCTTAATTGGTACCAGGACTGTCTGGGAGGATAAGAAACTCTAATTTGTACACCGTCAGGCCACCGCCAACTCATTGCACTGGCCACATACGCATTCAAAGCGCCACTACGATTCTGAACGGAGGTCGTATTTGGAGAAGGGGGGGGGGGGGGG